CTGCGATTGGTGTGGAGAGAGGAGAGACGGGAAACTTTAGAGTCGACTCAAAACACTCTGCTCTGTGGGGCGCGCCCAGGCACCCCTTCACCACGTCATCGATGTACGTGAAATCGCGAGCCAGCTCCTCGCCCTTGGGCCCGCGGAACACCTTGATTTGCTGCGATTGGTGGTTGAGATTCAGGGATCGAGTGACAGATGTGAAGTGGAGGAGGGTTGGGGGAGGGAGGTTGTCGAGGGAGTAAGGGGTTGAAGTTCTGGTGCGAGATGAAAAGAGGGTGTTTGGCAAGCACGCCAGGTCTCAATACAGTGAATTGTTACAACTGTGTGGTTACAATCCAACAATTACACTCCCGCAATCACACTGCGACGCACCTTGCCCTGCATGATGTTTCGCGCGAACGCGAAGTAGGCCATGTCGGGGCGGCCCCACGGGCCGTACACCGTGAAGAACCGGAGTGCCGTAATCGAAAGGCCGTAGATGTGATTATACGTGTGCCCCAGCACCTCGTCGGCTTTCTGCAAAACCCACGGCGGAGGAAACGAGAGAGATAATTAGGAATTCCAGATACGCGGCGGTAAAGCAGGTACAACGAAGTTCTTAGCTGCACTAGCTCTTCCCTGTTACCGAGCACAGCCATCCATCCTTGATTCAAGGAATTTATGGTTCATTGCCGTCATTGAATGATTCAATTGAATATTTACCTTGGTAGCAGCGTACAGGCTCGCAGGTCGGTCCGTGCGGTCGTCCTCCGAAAATGGCACCTTCGAATTCAGCCCATACACGCTGCTCGACGACGCGTACACTATAGCGGGGGGCGGATCGGCACTCTATCGGGGACAAATGGAACGCGGGGGGAGAGCGGAAGGGATGGGGAGGGTGGGAGAAAGGAAAATGAGAGATGAGATCGAGTCGCGTTCTGGAATTCGCACATGGCACGAGATTACGGGCGCGAACGAGTGAATGGCGAAAATGTAGAAATTTGTTGCTACCTTGGCCTGCTCGAGAAGCGTGACGAAACCCGCGACGTTGCTGTGGACGTACGCGAGCGGGTTGTGGACGGCGTAACGAACACCAGCTTGCGCCGCGAGCTGCAGCACGTGCGTGAATTTCACGAGCTCGAACAGCTTCGCGAGTAACGTCGCGTCGTTGATGTCGCCGTCGACGATAAACCTGTTCGCACGCAACAGACGGGCCAGCTGGGGGAAGAGTAAGGCACACCGGAAGCGCACTAAATCGCACACCCCCAAAATAAGGCTAATTAAGTGTACATCAAATATTGTCGCTCCATTTATCTGCATAATCGCAACGTCCCCACTACTTACACTCCCTTGCTCTCGAGTCGTTGCTGCCGGGCTCGCTTGAGCGCGGGCGGGTAGTAGTCGTTAAAATTATCAATCCCCACCACACCATCGCCTCGTTCCTTCAGCGCGAGTGACGTGTGCGAACCAACGAAGCCAGCTGCGCCCGTTACTAGCACAACCATTCCGCCAGCCCTCGGTGTTGCCGACAACCGCACCTGGTCTTCCCAAGCCGCGCTTCCCCACGTCGGAAGCTCTGCATCCAGCATCCCCGCCGTTTGCGGCGTCGAACGCGTCAGGATGCCGATCGCCCTGAAATTTTGAGACAAACGGCACACAAGGTACGGAAGGCAACAGTAAGCCATAGCAGGTGGGTGCTGACCTAGATGGGAAAAAGGTGCGCTGGAACTCGTGGTATCGGTATAGTCGAATCGGTGCCAGGCAGTTCCAGGGCTTGAGTCTGCTTTATATCGCTCCAGGGAGGAAGCACAAGGCTCGACTCCAAACCAGCAAAGACAAGTACCGTTATTTCGAGAAGACCCACCTAGTTAAATCCCAATTTGGTTCAAAGAACGAATCTGAAAGTGAAGAAAAACATTATCGTACAGCTTTTGTGCTTTCGTCCGTGATTCGGACGAGATCGTTGCGTGCGATGCGCACGTAGATAACAACGGCGACCAGAGTAGGACCGACGCCGGCGTGCATGGTTTAGTAAGTGTTGAGTTTATACGGCGTGAAGGGTTTTGAAATTGACGTCACTTGTCGTTTTCACACAGGGTTACGAAATCACGAAATTCTTACATGACGAAAACGAAGAGGCTGAGACATGACGCTTGCAGCCACCACATCGTCCGAGCGGACCGTTGCACGAACGAGTTGCTCCGAAGCTTCTCGAACTCGTCTCCGCTGGACCCGCCGCCTTTAAGCCCGCCGGCTGTTGGCAGCAGCTTTGCGAGGACCGGCGTCGGACTGCCAACCATGGCGCCGGGTTGAGAGCTCCCGCCGCAACAGCGGCCACAGCCGCTACAGCTGCAGCAGATGCCTCCGCTGCACTTCACTCGGTTGAGCGCTGATCCACTCTTAACTCTAGGAAGCGCCAGCGGCAAAACTGACCGAGGTAAGGACTACAGGGTGAGTACTAAGAGCTGGATTGCCTCGTATGACCGACACATCAGACTATACGGGGAAGATAAGGTGAAATGGTGGCTTCCACACAGTGAACCTCAAAATCCTGGGTGAGACTGAAGGGCGCAGAGACGAATGGAGTTGTTCCGAGACTTGAAATCAACGTTTTCCCGAGAAAATGTGACGCGCAGAGGCTGGCGCGAGGGATAACTAAGAGTGCGATGCAATGAGGGTGTGGTAGTGCTGCCCAGGGTCCTAGCAATGGCGATGAGCTAGCTGAGCGGTGCTGGGAAGGAATGAAGCACTTGGTTCCTGTCTGCTGGTGGGAGGAACAAGGTGGGTGGCAGGAAGCCAAGTTCAAGTTTACAGCAACCCGTTTTCCTGTCGTGTGCGTTGCGCAATGGAGCTGGGCTGGGTGTTCTTGTGACGGGACAAACGGAAGGGACGTGATCGCGACTCCAGTCAGTCGGGAATTGCAATGCTTTGCGGGGCGAAAAGGCCGAGGGGGCGAGTCAAGTCGAATTGATCAAAACGAAATTCTCCACGCGCGAAGGGGTGCGGTGCGCGGGCTGGCCTCGGTTGGCGAAGGTGGCACAAAGGCGAAGCGGCTTGTGGTGAAAAACTCCCCTCGACAAATTGCTCCTTTCCCGTTCGCGCCTTGTCTCTCCGAAACCATCGGTAACTGCGTGGCGAGGGTGCTGCTGCTGTGAATGCGATGCATTCTTGCAATGACTGCTGCCGAGCCTCGGGCTCCATGTTTGGGATGGGTCTCAAGTAGTTTATTTGTCCTTTTCAGTGTTTTCATACGGTACACAATGGTTTTGTGGGAGGTTTTGACTGCCGAACCTCTCTCACAAAATTTCCCCAACAGCAGTAATTCCCAAAGCCACCGCTTCGAATCGAACACGAACGGATATCCCGAAACATTTTTTACTCGATCACGCTCAGCCGTCCATTTCATCTGATTGACAATCCCAGCGTCAGCTCCACTCTTCAGTTGTGGATATCATGTCGTAGCGTGATTGACGCTGGGGTAGACTGCTTGGTATGGGGCACCCGAGACTGATTGTTGTCTTGGCCATTGGCTGCCGTGTCCGTCACTTATTGGTACACTTCTATACCCAACCTAACAGCTTGCCAGCAGCCGCAAATAAGAAGCCGAACCTACCTGTGGGATGAGACGTGACGTTTTTGGCTTGGCAACAAACCGTACCTCGCTCCCTCCTCGGGTTCGGTTGTGTGGCGAGAACGTGCCACAACGGAGTCTTCGCTTCAAGGAGCTTCTTTTTTGCAACGAAATCATGGTGGTAAGTGTAGGTGATTTACATGCTGATCATAACAGTTTTTGTGGTGGGGGTGGGTGATATACGTATGTATGTTCATATATGGTATCGACTACAAAGTTTGTTCTCACACTTTTGCATTCACTGTTTGTCATCTGAAGGTCGAATTGCCGCCTCACATATTCGTCCCCCCTTCCACACCCTGACTTTCTGACACGAGCCAAATCCCATATCCCGCCTTCTTCCCTCCATTTCCCCCCTTCCAAATGAAGGAAACCCAGGCAACAGTTTGCTCTGGAATTTGGATGACAGAAGCCGTTTCACACGAGCCCGTGTGGCGGAGAACTGAGGAACAGCAACATGCGCGAGCAACTCGAGGCTCCAACTTTTCAAAACCGTGAACTTCCAGCTCAACCGTTCACACTGTGGCTCAAAACACCTTTTAAAGCACAGCACCTGACTGAACCGTAATAGGTTCACACGCACCCAAAGAAGCACATAAGCTTCAAGGTAGTCGATTCCTGCGACAGCAGTCGTTGTTGTGACTGGATTTTGCTTCGTCGTCTGCGTTGATCAGATAGCTAGGACCGTGCTGACGGGTAGTGTGCCACCTTCAGTTTCTGCAGTCTGTTTGCCGACAGTGTTGCTCATGCAGCCTCGAATTTACCTGAAGTTGTAGGCTTACAAGCAATAATATAGTAGGTGTTTCGGTTGCTGCTCTCCGAGAAGCTTCAGGCGGAGAGCCAAGAGTTTTTCTGTTCCTGCTAAGCCGGATTCAACCTCGGTGAAGAACCTTTTTTTAATAATGGTACAGCCCCTCAGTCGGCACGCAACCCTTTCTTGAATCTCTTGGAATCAGTATCGACAGTCCTTTTATTGCAGCTTAACATTGTTTCCTGCTCCGCTCCCGTCTCCTCGCTTCCCCCAGGCCGTGGTTCTCCCAGTAGGATCCAACGAGAATTTGCCATCTAAGGTGGTTCGGGTGATAGTCAAGGAACTTAGGTCCCTTCACGACTCACCTCCGGAAGGCATACGCGTGCTTCTGAATGATGACAACATCTCAACCGTCCATGCGGAGATTGAAGGACCAGGTAAGACGACAAATCCTTTACTACTCAACCTAAAACTTGTATCTACGACCTGAGTTGTTAAAACTTTGCGTCCCTGAGCGTTTTGCGCACATTCAGTATATTTGTAATATTACCTTTTTACTCTGCAATCTACGAGTTTATCTTTTGTCTTTGCGGCTTCACCTCAGTCGGCACACCTTACGAGGGCGGAGCGTTTCGCATGAAGCTAGTGTTGGGTCCCGAATTTCCAAACGCTCCACCAAAGGGCTTCTTTGTGACTCGGATATTCCACCCGAACGTGGCCAAGAATGGAGAGATCTGTGTGAACACCCTGAAGAAGGACTGGAAGCCATGCCTTGGCCTGCGCCACGTACTCATTGTAAGACAATCTCGCTTCTAAAATGTATTTGAATTCCCACTTTTCGTTTTTTTTTTTTTTCAAGTACGTCCTATTGTTCTATGCTCCTCGCACACCTCAATACTTGAGGTCATTACAAGGATTGTGCAACTATTGCATCATGGCCAGATTAACATCCCATCGCCATTGCTTCTTGCAGGTTGTTCGGTGCCTGCTCATTGAGCCATATCCCGAGTCAGCTCTTAACGAGGACGCAGGCAAGCTGCTTTTGGAGGACTATGAGGCATACGCCAAGCACGCTCGCCTCTTCACGTCCATTCACGCCCCAGCAGCAGCAGCGGCCACCACAGGTGTCAGCATGAGCCGCTCCAAGTCCATGCCCCAGCATGCAGCTTCCCAACCAGGTCAACAAAGTCAACCAGGTCAACATCCGTCCTGCCCCCATCACACGCTTCGCCAGAGTGTCTCTGCTTCAGACCACCTCGCTCCTGGCGCTGCTTCTCCTGCCGCTGCCGCCGCCGCCGCTGCTGTTGCAGAATTGGCAGGTTCAGCCTCTTCTGCTGGTGGTGCTGGTGGGAGTGCACCGCTTGCTCCCAACCGCTCGATTGCCAACGCTGAGGTGCAGAGGGAGGAGGGTGTGGGTGGTGCAGCTGGGGGGTCGAGTGGGGGCATGCGCAGTGCAGGCAGCAAGGGGGAGAATGGAGCGAGAGGGGTCCATGAAAAGAAGAAAGTGGATGCGAGGAAAAAGAGCCTTCGGAGATTGTAGGGACGAGGGCTGTAGGGATGGGAGATTGGGGTGGGGGAAATGGTTTTTCTTGGAATGCAAAAACGCTTTCAAGGAAACAAGTGGATGATGAGATTATGAGTTTGGTCGACGACTTGGGACAAGGGCTGTAGGGATTGTTCCACAGAAGCTTGGTGAGACAACACGACACCCATTGATTCAAGCGATCAATGTTTACGCTAGGTGGTTTATTTGTTCCTTGGCAATGCAAGGGACAGTCTGATGTGTGAGGTTATGAACTGCTCTGAATTGGGACTGGTCTCAACTGAGATCATAGTCAGTGAACTTGCATTATGTGCTAAACTATGCTACAGTGACACCACTATGATGTTTATTCGTTTACTCGCTGAACATCAAGCTTGCCAAATCCAACGTCGAATCACACCCTATTAAAGCCCGAGTCCCAAATTGCGAGGCGCGTGGGTCAAGCTTTTAAAACTTGACGGTGAGGAGCTTGTAAACTTGAAAGAAGTTCAGTTGCAATTTGGGACTTAAGAGCTCCCACCAGGGGGAAGACGCGTTTTTGGCTGTGTGTTGCGAAGAAAACGAATTTGACGAAATAGGACCCGTCGCCACACCCCAAAAACAAAACTTCCTCCCCGTCAACCTTTTAAAACTTGTGCAATTTGGGCCAACGGCTACAAAATCCGCGTTATATGTACATCTACCAGTTCGCTCAAGGTTCTCGCAGGCATGTCGCGCTCGTTCCAGCCGCCAGGCGCTCGCTGCGCAGTTGACCTCGCGACGGGAACGACGGCGGCTGCTCTTCCTCTGTCCCATCGTTGCTCAACGCTGCGCCAATCCTCCCCGCGCCACGCGCCAGCTTCCCTCCCCACCGCTTCCCCCGCCCTCTCCGCGCGTGCTGGCCACGCCCTCGCTCCGACCACCGCGCGCCGCGCCGCGCTCCCGTGCCTCAGGACCTCCGCAATAGTCACGGGCGTCACAGGCGCCCGCTATAGTATCATCAACCCGTGTCAGCCCAGTTGCGTTGACATCAGGAGGAGCGCGTGGAGTGGCGGCAGTAGGCTCGGCGCCACCAGGAGCAGCCGCGAGAATAGGAGAGTCAGCGTGTGCTGCGGAGGATCCAGAGGCGCCGTCGTTGCGGGGAGCGAGGAGCGGAGCGCGAGTGATAAACACCAGAGCGACAGACTAACGCAGCTGCCGCCCGTCGAGGCAGCTCCGCTGCGGAGCATCCGTCGTAGCAACGCTCCGCCGCGACAAAGCAGAGAAGAAGTCTGCCGCGCCACGCCCCTGCACGCACGTTGGCCCTCTGTCGCTCTCGCAGCAGCAGCAGTCGCCTGCGTCCTCCTCCCGCTGCCTCTCCACCTCCCCCCGCAGCACACTCCGCCCGCAGTGGAGCAAGGCAGGGCAGCAGCAGGCAGCAGATCGCTGCGCAGTGCGGTGGGCACTTCGTGGGACAGTGCGAGGGGCAGTGCACTGGCTGCGGCTGCGCCGTTCAGTGGAGCCAATGTGCCTCTGCCGTCCGACACGCTCGACAACGTGCCCCAGTCGCTCTCAGGTGCCCCAGTCGCGTTCAGGTGCGCTGTCAGGTGTCCTGCCAGGTGCCCGGGTGTGCTGTCAGTTGCTGTCAGGTGTACTGTCAGATGTACTGTCAGGTGTGCTGTCTGGTGTGCTGTCAGGTGTGCTGTCAGGTGTGCTGTCAGGTGTGCTGTCAGGTGTGCTGTCAGGTGTGCTGTCAGGTGTGCTGTCAAGCGCGCACATAGTCCCATCCTTGTCTCCTCAGCTTGCATGCCGTCCTTCTGGTTTGCTGCCCTATTTCCTTCACCACCTTGGTTCCCCCACTCTCCATCCCTCTCCTCTCCACACCAACAGAGGACGACAGGAAGCCGCGGCGGATTCAGAAGCCCAAGACACCAGCAGCAGAGAAGTGTCTGCGCAAGTGCGTGGGCACGTGCATCAGAGGAGGGGCGGGGGCACCCGGTGAAGGACCCATCAACGTTGAGAGGTGAGGCTGTTGGCCACGCGTGAATGGCTTTTGACGCGCTGCAAGTGTGTGGGCACGTGCATCAGGGGAGGGGCGGGGGCACCTGGAGAAGGGCCCATCAACGTGGAGAGGTGAGACTGTTTGCCATGCGTGAATGGCGTCACACGGTGGTATTCTTATACACCACTATGTATTTCATTTTCTGTGCATGTGAGGTCCGGAGCATTTTATTCCCTTTGTTTTTTCCCTAGTAGTTGGGGGCTTGCTTCCGTGTGCCTTAGCACCACCCTGCGCTTTTTCCACTGATCGTAAACAAGTGTCGTGAACACCGTTCTCCCCACTTTCAGGCCCATTGTGGTTTTCAAGTCCGAATTCAGGTCAAGACAATATTGGTGAGTGGGACTTTTGAGGATGAAGATTAGCAGGCTGAATCCAAAATCTGCCATACCCTGATGCTTGTGAACAGTGGCATATCCTGTTTTGCCCTAATATCTTGCTCTTTGCTTCAATCTTTTTACTTTGGGGGGGCATTCAGTGACTGTCTATATCCCCACCACCTTCTTTCTGCATGTCCCTCTCCCCGTGCTGTTGGCTGCAGTCTAGTGGAATGTAGTGAGATCTGCAACCTTTTGTCGGATGCAAAGAGCAAGCCCTGATGCCATGTAATTATGCAAGGTTGTGCAAGCAGAAAATGTAACTGAAGTGGGAAGTGCGATTTTGTGAAGGTGAATGTTGGGCTGAGAAAAGCCCTTAGGATCTTTGCAGGGCTAAACTCTGGGTAGGAATGTTGTAGTTGCGGAAGCGTTTTGATAAGAAGTATTGAACCACCTTGCGCTGGTATGTGAGGGCAAAGTAGATTAATTAAAACAAAGAGGTACAAGGTTTTTATAAGAGTACAAGGAATACGAAGAGATACAGCTAATAACTGTTTTACTGTTGCTGTTGCGGTTCGATACAGTCACGACTCGGGCAACTGCTCAATAGCGAGTCAGTTGTTTGTCCTTGCTGTCGCGCTGTATTGTCAGGTCAAAGGTCGCTGACCTTTGACTTTCGCGTAACCTCCAGCAGTTGCTTTTCTTCTCAACCTCCAAAGGTTGACTCGCCGATGCTTCGTTGTGCTTCGCTTCGTTTACGACTTAGTGTTTCGACACACAACAGAAGCGCTTAAATTACTTGTTTCCAACACTCCCCTTCGCTTCTGGAGTGTCGTTGCTGGTGACGTGGCTTTGTCCAGTCAGCAGCATGCAGTACTCGAACTTCTGCTTTCCGAGTTTCTTGGTCAAGTAGTCAGCTGCCACCTCAGACGTGGGGCAGTAGGACAGCTCGAGTCTCCCCTTCTCGATCTCGTCCTTTACGAAGAAATATCGCAGGGCGATGTGCTTCGTTCTGTTCGCGAATCCGTTCTTGTTGGCTATGCGGATTGCAGACTGGTTGTCGCATAACAGGGAGAAGCTGGGTAACTGCGCCAGCTTTGCTTCTTTCAGCAGTTCGCGAAGGTACAGTCCTTCCTTGGTGGCTGAGCAGAGTGCGATATATTCTGCTTCAGCTGAGGAGAGAGCAATCAGTTCCTGCTTGCTCGACTGCCAAGAGATGGGCCCGATAGGCTCGAGTCGGTAGATGTAACCGGTGCGCGAGCGCCTGTTGTCAGAGTCGCCGGCGTGATCAGCGTCGACGTAGCCGATTAGTTTAGGCGCCGTAGTTCCAGTCCTGTAGTAGGTTAGTCCGATCGTCGAGGTGCTGACGAGGTAGTGCATGTCAAAGTATATGCATGCTATATATGTGTAGGATGTAGTGGGGTAGCCAATATGGGGTACAGCCCCTTTTAGGGTTTCATACTTGTACCCAACTCTTTGATAGTTCAAGCATTCCTGCTGTTAGATTCTGACATGGTTTCAGAGCACTAGGTCCGTAGGACAGTTTTTTTCGGGCCCACCTACCGTTGCGGTTACCGCGTTACCCCACGTGTTGGCCTGCCTGCCTGCCTTGCCTTGTGACGTGCTGCGCTGCGCGCGCCGTCCTGCAGCCCTCGTGCTGCCTACTGCTGCCCTAGGCCAGAACGCCGCCCCTGCAGGCCCGTAAGGCCCACGCGCCGCACCTGCAGACACGTCACGCCTGCGAGCCGCCCCTGCAGGCCCGTCAGGCCAGGGCGCCGCCCCGCCAGGTCGCTGCCCCGCGCGTCGCGCCCACAGCCCGCGCGTCGCGCTGCAGCCCCGCGCGTCGCGCCCACAGCCCGCGCGTCGCGCTGCAGCCCCGCGCGTCGCGTCCGCTGCCCGCGCGTCGCGCTGCAGCCCCGCGCGTCGCGTTCGCTGCCCGCGCGTCGCGCTGCAGCCCCGCGCGCCGCGGCTGCCATCCTCGCGCAGCCCGCGGCGGCTTCGCGCGCCGCGCCCGCGGCTCGCGTAGCGCGCTGCAGCCTCGCGCGCCGCGGCTGCCCCTGGACGCTGCCGTCACTCCTGCAGCAGCTGCCGCGGAGCGCCCTGCCACAGTAGCGGCCCCGCCCTACAACAGCTGCCGCGGAGCCTCCTGCCGCCGTCGAGGCCCTGCTCTGCAGCAGCTGCCGCGGAGCCTTCTGCCGCCGTCACGTCCCCGCCCTGCAGCAGCTGTAGCGGACCTGCCCTACCTACGACGCGGTCCTGCTCTGCCGCAGCTGTCGCGGCCCCGCCATCGCCGCCGTCGTGCGCCTGCCCTTCTCGCCACTGGTGAGCACCTACCTGCCTGCCTGCCTGCCTGCCACGCCTGCTTTCCTGACTGCCCTGCCCGCGCTACTACTACTGCTAGACTGCTGCTGCTGCTGCTGCTGCTACTGCTGCTGCTGCTACTACTACTACTAGTGCTACTGGCGGTGGCCAGATGCAGCTCCAGCGACGTCCGCGCGAGTCTCTCATGCCTCAGCAGCTTCGTGAGTGGTACGCTAGTTGGGGTTGTGGCGGTAGCCGTCGTGGCTGTCGCCCTGGGGCTGGTCGGTCGGGAGCGTCTGGCACTGCCCAGCTGCAGCTGCAGCGGCGTCCGCGCGAGACACTTACGTCCCGGCAGCTTCACGAATGGTACGCTCAGAGTCGAGGGTCTCGGAGTACCGTTCGCTGCCCGTACGTCCTTCGCACAGGTGATCGGGCTGGTCAGGCTTGCGGGACACTTGGTCACACCCAGTCCCGCTGCTTCGCCCGTCTGAGCGACGCCTGGCGTACCGAGTTTGGCGACGAGGCTGAGCTCCCCACCTGGCTGGAGCTGCTTGGGCTGAGGGTAGATATCTTTGCTCTTGACTATGATGCTATTCTCACTGCCATGTATGCATTGCCTACTAGTGCTGACCGTGCCTGTTCCCTGTGCGTACCGCCTGACCCAGGTATAGAGCCTGCTGCCCTAGGTGCTGGTGAGGCTGCTGCTCTAGGTGCTAGTACGTCTCCTGCGCTAGGTGCTGGTGAGGCTGCTGCTCTAGGTGCTAGTGCGTCTCCTGCGCTAGGTGCTAATGAGGCTACTGCTCCAGGTCCTGGTGAGTCTGCTCTCTCTGGTACTGCGCCTGCTGAGGCCTTGTACACCTTCACACTTGACTCAGGTGCTTCCCGCTCCTTCTTTCGCGACAGCACCACCCTCACGCTGCTTCGTCGGCCGGTTGCAGTCTCCCTGGCAGACCCCTCTGGGGGTCTAGTTCTTGCGCACTCCTCCACGGTCCTGCCGTGTCCGGCGGTCCCGTCTGGCTCCCTGTCAGGTCTTCACCTCCCCTCGTTCTCTACGAACTTGGTGAGTGGAGCTGACCTACAGGATGTGTGGGTTGACCAGTTCACCCCTGGAGGTCAGCGTGTGACCCACTGTACGTGCTCCCGGACTGGTCGGCACCTGGCCACGTTCACCCGAGAGCCTGGCTCGAGTCTGTACACACTGACCACTGTGTCCCCTCAGGTAGCTGCGTCTGCGTTTGCGTCAGGTCAGCTAGCGGCCCCCTGCTCGTGTCGCGCTTTGTCGCACTAGACCCTCCTTTGGCACCACCGCCTTGGTCACCCCTCGGTGCAGCGCCTTCGTAGCATGCACCGCCGTTTCCTTGTCTCTGGACTTCCAGAGACTCTGCCTCCTCTACCACCCTCGCCTGCTCCTCCCTGTCTTCCCTGTGTCGAGGGGCGGCAGTGCGCCGCTCCTCACTCCTCCTCGTTCCCTCCCACAGAGGCTCCCCTGCAGACTCTCCACCTGGACGTGTGGGGCCCAGCCCGCGTCCGTGGACAGGGCCACGAGCGGTACTTCCTGCTGGTCGTCGACGACTACACGCGTTACACCACGGTCTTCCCCTTGCGCAGCAAGGGGGAGGTCCCTGATGTTTTGATCCCCTGGATCCGCGCTGTTCGTGTCCAGCTCCGCGAGCTGTTCCAGTCGGACTTTCCTGTCCTGCGTCTGCACTCTGACAGAGGTGGTGAGTTCTCCTCAGACCTCTTGGCAGCCTACTGTGCGGAGCACGGCATCCGCCAGACGTTCACGCTTCCGGCCTCTCCGCAGCAGAATGGGGTTGCTGAACGCCGCATTGGCTTAGTCATGGAGGTCGCTCGTACCTCCATGATCCATGCGGCTGCCCCCCATTTTCTGTGGCCGTTTGCGGTCCGCTACGCTGCGCATCAGCTCAACCTCTGGCCCCGTGTCTCCTTGCCGGAGACCTCGCCCACACTGCTGTGGACGGGGAAGGTTGGCGATGCGTCGCGTTTCCGGGTCTGGGGTGCTCGTGCCTTTGTCCGCGATACCACCGCGGACAAGCTCTCCGCCCGCGCTGTTCCCTGTGTCTTCCTTGGCTTTGTCCCTGACGCGCCTGGTTGGCAGTTTTACCACCCCACCTCGCGCCGTGTCTTCCCCTCTCAGGACGTCACGTTCGACGAGTCGGTTCCCTTTTACCGTCTCTTCCCCTACCGCACTGCCCCTCTCCCCCCCCCGCAGCTCTTCCTCGCTCCAGGTGCTCCCCAGGTAGACCCCCTCCCCGCTCCCGGTCCTGCTCCTTCAGGTGTGTCTCAGGTAGACCCTCCTCCCTTGACTGAGCCGGTTGAGGTCACTGGTGACTCAGGTCCTGCTCGGG